TTTTTTTTTTTTTTTTTTTTTTTTTTTTTCAATTAGACCACCACTACCTCCAAGCCTCTTTTCCCAGTGGCAGATCTATTATGCTGTGCGCAAAGTCCAAAACGAACTGGTGTTCAGGGGAACAGTCTGTCTATTGTTGGGGAGCAATGCCTGCGGGAACGCAGGTCCAGCGTCCCATGTACACTGGCTTTGAGTTTTGTTGGGGAAAATAAATAAATTAAAAGAACTCCATCAGCTCCTGGGAATCCAACCCAAATCCGAATCCGGTCCTGGATTCAGATTGGGGTTCGCAGGAGCTGGTGACAGGCTTTTTTTTTTTTTCCCAACACAACACAAAGCCCTTCTTTTTTTTTCTTTTTCTTTTTTTTGGAAAGACAATGCGCCAGTCTATTCGTGGGGACCAGCACGTGCTGGGAACCGGGCCCAGGAGTGACAACTCTGAAGAGTCTGAACTTTGCTTTTGGGGCCAGACGGGCGCCCTCAAAAGCTCCAATCTATTCGTGGGGAGCATATCAACAGTCATGTGTCAAACCCCATCTATTCTGGGGGGCAGCAGTCATTAGTAACCGGAGTGCTGCCCCCCAGAATAGATGGGGCTAATCAACCCGCAAACGTAGACCTAGTGGAAGAAGATGGCAGATGAAGGAAGATAGTACTCACGCTTGTGCGATAGGTTTCTGTGAAAAGGGAGGATAGCTTGTCTACTTGAACTGGAAGTCACATATACTTTTTTTCTTTTTTTTTTTATCTCCTTCCCCGGTGCTAGTGGTGCTGGTAAGAGCAGACACCGCTAACACCTGGGGAGAGGCTCCATCTATTGGTGCGGAGCATCACCTGCTGGAAAACGGGTCCAGCATCCCATGTACAGAATGAATTTCAAGGATCAGTACCAGACTCCAAGACTGAGAGACATCAAGGGGTTGTCAATAAAGTTAATGAGAGAAGTAGAATAGTCAATCTGTTCCCAATTCTCTCAGACTGAGTAGCAACGGGGAAAGCTGTTGCAAACTACCACTTCCGTAGGCTTTCATGTCGGCAAGCAACTCAGGGCATCGTTAGACACTCCTCAGCACGTCCTCGGGCGCCGAGGACGAATCCTCGAAAATTTCTTTGGTTTTTGAAGGCATTGTTCCACCTGTCCTCGGAGAATCACTCCAAGGACGAATCCTCGGGGGGCCCTCCCGCGGGCTGTTTCATGAGATTATACACGGCCGCGGGGGGGTTGTCCGACCTTCGATTCGGGATGTCCGGCAAGGAGTCGTCGTGGTCCAGCAGGCGTACAGCGGCATCGCGTCACGGGCCCCGAAAATGAAAGTCACGAACGCGGGAAACGCCCCGTTTGAAATTCAAAATTTGAAATCGCGGACTGCGGGACGACGGGGAGGTGGCGCACAGGCGGGTCCTGGACTCTGCAGTGCGCGCCGCGGAGGCTCTACGACTGGTTCCCGATGCCATCGCCTTGCGTACTTCAGTGGCGACTACTGGTTCCGGATGCCATCGCCTTGCGTACTTCAGTGGCGACACACGGCCACGGTCTGCGGTGTCGTCGACGCGGAAAACTGGAGAGGGTCAATCCTCGCTGCACGTGTCCGCGCATGGCGGTTCTACACTTCGGCGGCTGCGGACGGACGATTCCATCGGGGAGGACATCGCTCAGGGGGGGTGGCGGAGGGCGAATTGCAGGCGTGTCATCGTTGTGGTCGCGTAGGTGGTGGCGGCAGGTGGGCTACGGGGGACACATACGACAACAGCACGTCGTCTTTCGGCATAGGGCGAGCTTCTGGACTTCTCGCCGTGTGCGATGTCACATTTGCGCTGTTGAGGGTCTACGCAAACAAGATTTCCTGGCCTACGGGGTGCGGAAACACGTCGTGCTCCGGGTGTTTTTGGAGAAGGGTTTTCCCAAGTGTCACGACGCTGTCGACTGCACACACATCTACGTCGACAAACCGGCGAACGCCCCCAGCGAGAACTACTTCGACCGCAAGCACTGTTTCTCCGTCGTTGCGCAGGTCGTGGTCGACCTGGGTCTGCGCGTTCTGGACTTGTTCGTCGGGTATCCCAGGAGCTGCCATGACATAAGGGTGATCCAGTTGTCTAGTTTGTCGTGGTGCGCAGAAGACGGAACGATGTTTCATGGGCCTCCTGTGATGCTGTCGGGCGGGATGAGGACAAATGGATATATCTTAGGCGACAACGGGTACCCTCCTTCGGAATGGGTAGTGGTGCCGTACGGCGGAATCAATCAGCCCCCCGATGAGGAAAGGTTCGACACGAAGCAGAATGTCACAAGAGAGGCTGTGGAGAGGGCGTTCGGACGGTGGAAAGGGATGTGGAGGCTCTTCCTGCGGGCGCACAAGACCAACCTGGACACTCTGCCGCAGCAGTTCACGGTCGTCTGCATACTACACAGCATTCTCCTCGATGCTGGTATCGAGTTCGACGAGAATCTGCTATGGGAGGTCGACACGGACGGGGTGCGGCACCGAGTGGATCTAGGGATTCATCTTCCCCCGCAGCCAGTCATCAATTCCACTTCCACGACCGAGGCGATCACGCTCCGGAACGCTCTAACAAAGCGAATGAAGCACATGTAATCCGCGATACGACCTGGTTGTTTCTCACAATGAAAGTACCATGTTCATGTCCTATCCCGCCGTCGTTGATCCAGCACGTTCGCTTCGTTGGCTTTCACACGTGGATGGTATTCTGTCGTCTACCGCAGTGTGTTGGACGTTTCTTCCGTACTCGACGGCTTGTTTGGCTGTCCTCGTAATTGTGGACGACGACGACAAGGGTGTTTCGTCGATCATCGGGGTGGATGCTTGTAGTGACGGGGACTGTCGTTGTTCCTCGCGTTGTAGTCGCGTTTTTTCTTTACTGGTTTCACCATACCTTTCTTTTCGTCGCGTTTGCGGCGATTGTGGGGCTTGGGGTGGGGGAGTGGAGGCGGTGTGGTGGTGGGTGGCATTGGTTAGGGGGGTGCGCAAGTCTGCCACGTCAGGTGGGGGAGGTAGGCGGGCGGGAACCCGGTGCGGTGTTCATGTTCACGTGCTTATCCATGTTTGCACGTGCTTAGAAATTGTTGGTTGCTGTGCACGAGCGCTTCTCGAAGCGCTGAATCGATTTCTCAAGCACAAGAATGTGTTTTTCTTTTGGACTTGTGTGTGAGGTCGTCTTCTTGCATCTGGCTGTGTCCTTCTCAGCGACGGGTTTGTTTTATTGTCTTGCGTACGGGACTTCTGTCATGTATCTCGTTTGTGCTTGTTTGCATTTCGAAATGTAGATCGTCGTTGTGTTGTTGTTCCACGCGCGACTTGCATGCCAAAAAAAAAAGAAACAAGTTCATCTCGTGACATTTCGGTCCTTTCAGCAACAACATCGCCATCGCATTTTTTAATTTTTTTTTTGTGGATTTTTTTTTTTTTTTTTTTTTTTCTTGGGGTTGTGTACTGTCAGGTGGAGATGATGTTAACGCATCCGCTATTTGAGACACTGCGTGATGGGCACCATACGTGGTAATATGTGCACGACATTGAGATGGTCATTCACCCGTAGTCGACACGAGAATCGCACACAGAAGATAAGAAAAGCACAGGTACGTGAGCAACCATTGGCACACATATCGAAGTCCTCAGCAAACACATTCCTTAAACCACTAGTACTTGGACCATACATCGGCCGCGGGGCTTACCCGTTAACGCGCCGCACTTTGTGGGGTTTGGGGGAGGCTTGGCATGGCAATCGGGGAGGAAGCTGGTGGCCCCACGGGAACCTCCCACAAGGACTGCAAGATGTCCTCGTGGTGTGCAATGTGGAAATGCGCGGATACTAGTATTTTGCTTCACTTCTGCACCGCACGGAATGAATCTGAGGGCAATCACGTTCAGATTTTCCCCCATTTTTTTTCTTTTTTTTCTTTTTTGGGAAGAAGCTCGTTGGCTGTTTGTGCACTTGCTCCCCGTGAGAGACGGGGAACATTCATTGCCTGAGGTCCTAGATGGAGTGTAACGTTACAACTTCGAATAATGTATCTGGCTTCACTTCTGCACCGCGTCATATGAATCTGAGGGCAATCACGTTCAGATGCTGGTTTCCCATTTCCCCCTTTTTTGTTTTTTGTTTTTTTTTTGGGGGGGGAGAAGATCGTTGGCTGTTTGTGCACTCGCTCCCCGTGAGAGACAGGGAGCATTCATTGCCTGAGGTCCCAGAGAGAGTGCAATGTTACAACTTCTAATAATGTATTTGGCTTTACTTCTGCACCGCGTCATATGAAACTGAGGGTAATCACGTTCAGATGCTGGTTTTCCATTTCCCCCTTCTTTTTTGTTGTTTTTTTGGGGGGAGAAGAAGCTCGTTGGCTGTTTGTGCACTCGCTCCCCGTAAGAGACGGGGAGCATTCATTGCCTGAGGTCCCAGAGAGAGTGTAACGATACAACTTCAAATAATGTATCTGGCTTTACTTCTGCACCGCATCATATGAACCTGAGGGCAATCTCGTTCAGATGTTGGTTTCCCATTTCCCCCTTTTTTTATTATTTTTGGGGGGGGGAGAGGGGGGGAGAAGCTCGTTGGCTGTTTGTGCACTCGCTCCCCGTGAGAGACGGGGAACATTCATTGCCTGAGTAAAAACAAGAAAACGACGGCCTGTTTACGTTCCATCTGCTGGCAGCAGGTCCAGCATAAGGGGCGGTACCTGCTTGAAGCAACACATGTCCCATACTTTTTCCCACCACCTGCAGGCTCGGCAAAAATCGGCGCGCAGGGCATATTCAGGCTCGACTTCAATAGTTGGGCCAAGTACTGGTGGCTTAATGAAATCCATACATTCGCATTGCATACTCGAAGAGGTGAACCCGAGTTTTTCATGCTTCCCAACCTTCCACGGCGCACAATTATGACTCTCTTTCTCTCTCTCTCTCTCTCTCTCTCTCTCTCTCTCTCTCTCTCTCTCTCTCTCTCTCTCTCTCTCT